TTCCATTGCTCAATTTTATTTTTAAAATCTTAAAATTGGACTGGCATTAGTAACTACCACCTAGGACTGACTTTGTGAAATAAAAGTGACATAGTTAACTTAAATCACTTAGCATTGCACTGGGATTATAGTGAGTATTCAGTAAGTTTTAGCTGATATTTTTATTTCATAAAGAGACATGGTTTTGATTTATTGAAATGCTAACACAAACCCCATTGAAACTCACATTTTCAAATGTCATTATTGAGAATGACATCATTGTATCTGCATTATCATTTTGCTTGAACTTCTAGTTTATGCATCATAAGGAAACATACAGCAAAAAATAACAAATCTTATAGGAGAGACCAAAGATTTGCTCATTTCTTTTATGCAGGAGTTGGGGCTAAATTTATAAAAATCTCATGGATAATTACAGTGTGTGTGGTAACCTTATAAAAATATCTATATTGAAGTTATGAAATCTAATCTGAGGGCACAGGGATATGGTATAAAATATATAGAATCAGATTTTTTAGCAGTCAAGATATTCAACTTACATTCAATAATTTAGCAACTGATCAAATTTTTGAGATACCAAACTTCTTTATTTTTCTTCATTTTTCACTTCTGCCTATATTTTGTCTATTTTTCAATTTATTTATTTATCTATTCTGGGAGAAAGAGTTAAGAGGAGGAAAATGCTAATCTATTTAATAGGGTTACTTCTTAGCAGAGAGGAAAAAAGTGAAAAAAAGTTTAGATTGTGATGATAAATCCATTGTGGGTTGCCCACTTCACTAATATGCAGTAGCTATAATTCCTCGGTCTTCCACTGGCTGAGATAATTAAGAGTTAGCTGATATGTTTTGACAGAGGTGGAGCACTTAATCTTAAAACTATTTCTCACAAAGGAGTGAATGGGCTTGCAATTGAAACTATGTCTTTCTCTATAAAAATACATGGAAGCTTTTACATTAAATTTTCTAATACCATAAACGTTAAAATATCTTCAGCCACATCAGTTTATTCACTATTTTTATTCATTGCTATTTCATTTTATATACAATTTGTTATACTAAACAAATATAACTCCAGGTAACTCAAAAGACCAATCTTAGCTATTGTAACAACAACAAAACAACAACAACAAAAACCTATGGAGAATTTGTAAATTATGCTGAACATTTAATTGAAAATATTAGGCAGAATGTGTTTAAATAAATATATCTAGAGAAAAGGCACCAATGGAAACTAAATCCAATAGACTGTATATACAAAGGGACAATGGCCTGACCATATATAAAAATAGAAACAAACCTCCTTATCTACAATAAACAGCCCAGTAAACCAGCCTTTTGTAAATCAGATTTGCAAGAAGTCAGATTGCTATCTCTAGTAACAACCCAGGAAGCTAAACAATTACTTGTATAAAACAATCAGCTCCAAATGACCAGAATTGATTAATAACTGGCAGCTTTCCCAATTTTCGTCCTTGCTTCCAACTTTAGACCAACAGAGAAAGGTCAAACATGCACCTCTAACCAATGACTTCTAGTTATCCTGCCTACAGCTTCCCCAGGCCAACAGTCTCTAATGAGGACATGTGTGAAGCCTTCCCTATAAAATTTTTTTCTGTACAGCTTTCCCACTCCTTTGCTGGCCTTAAGTCTCTGCCAAAATGCAAGCGATGGAGCCGACTTTGTTGCTAGAGCAGTCTCTGAATAAATACTCTTTGCTTTCTTCATTTGGTTAAAATTAATCTATTTTCACACTATTAGAGCATCTATTCCAGGTCCATCAATGAGTAACATGCTTGCATACACTAAAAAGCTAATCTTCATAATATTCTTTGAGAAATTTTTTAAATAGCCATTTTACAGATATAGAGCACTATTTGCAGAAGTTAAATGGCTTCTCATTTTCTCCTGTTTTTACATCAAGCTACAGTAAATGCTTTTGGTGTATGACTGTTTAAAAAAGATTTGAGGCCAGGCATGGAGGTTCATACTTGTAATCACAGCACTTTGGGAGGCCAAGGTAGGCAGATCACTTGAGTTCTGGAATTCGAAGAGCAACCTTGGCAACATAGGGAAATCCCATCTTTGTAAAAAAAAAAATATATATATATATATATATATAAAAACGTAGCTGAGCAGGGTGGTGGACACCTGTGGTCCCAGCTACTGTGGAGGCAGAGATGTGAGGATCTCTTGAGCCTGGCATGTGGAGGTTGCAGTGAGCCAAGATCATGCTACTGCACTCCAGCCTTGGTGACAGAGTGAGATCCTGTCTCAAAAACAAAAAAATTAAGATAAAATTACATCTAACAATAGTAATAGCAGCTATAAATTAGGTAAGTGTTTTCTAATATGACTTAAATTTGTATCCATCAACTTTCTGGACAAACAAACATTGTATTTTGAATTGATTCATTGCTTTCAAGTTGTAATTTATCAAAATGTATGTGGAATTTTATAAAATCAAAACCACTATAAAAATTACTTCTGTCTTTATTGATATTAGAACATATCAGCAGAAATAATTTGCTGGCCAAGCAGTAATTGCATTAATAAGCTTTTCATAGATAGTGGGTGGAATGCCTTATATAAGTGTTATTTATGATATATGATATTGACAAGGAAAAAGGTAAAAATGAAAATGATGACTCTAAAAGTAGGGTAATATATATTTCTTTACCTGGCCTTATAAATACATCACAATTTTTTAAAAGTTAATTGCTTATTACCCATCTAAGATAGGCACTATTCCATTTAGAAAATGAGGAAACAAAGTCATAGAGATATTTAGAACATTATCCAAAGTTTCTCAATTAGTGCACAGTAGAGTCTGTTTTCAAAATGCATTATTATTTTTTTGGCTTCAAAGTCCATCACGTATGCTCAAGAAACATTTGATCAAAATTCACTTTTAAGATATTTCATTAGCACATAATTTAGCCACAGAACTTAAAATGAAAGTAATTTATTTTCTAATTTAGCCATGTTAGAAAGAAAGGAACATGACATTTGCACATATTAGAAATTTCCATGAAAGTTATATAAAGCCAGACTGGAAAACATTACGACAATATACATGACAAATAAAGCTTTTAAAATACCTGAACATTAAATGATATTTAAACACAATTTCTTTTCCAAGGACTGAAAAAAATAAAAAGAAATCTACAGGTAATAATGTGGAATAAGTAATGATGAGTAAAGGTCAAATAAGTCCTTCTGTGATTTCTACTTTGTCCCAATAATTCCATCTAGTTAGCTCAAATCTCTATTTCTTGAATTGAAATCTATAAAAAGATTTATAGCATTTCAATAAACTATTTTTTGAAATTTCACTGTTGTAACCAGAAGTAACTAATTTGCCACTTAAAATTATAAATACGAGGGGACATAATTTGGTAATTTTGCATAGTGTACAGAAGGGAAGACAAAGTGCCTCCTTTGCATACCTTAAAAGCTTTCTTCCCTCTCAAGAATAAAAGACTGGTTATTCATTACCTACTCATTGATCTTATTTTTAAAACTTTTAGTTATCTACTCTCCATTGGGCATGTGATAAAATTTTCATTTTGGGCTACAATTTTTTTAATAGAAAAGAAAAATTAATTGAGGTCTCCATCTTTGTCTCTTTCCATATCAGATCTTAAGTGGAGGTAGATGGGCAAAAGGTGTAAGGCAGGTTTGAGATGCATTTTATAAGAAAACCACCTGGGAATTTCCGATATAAGACAAGTCCCAACCTGTAATCATATAATGGAAATAATATGCTTCAGTAACTCTGAAGCAAAACTACAGTGTAGTAGGCAGATCTCTAGCTTACATTATTCCTGTCTTCCACGGACTAGCTGTGTGACACCAGTCATTGCACCTGACTACTCTGTGGCAGTTTCTTCATCTGAGAGAAGAGGATGATAATAATAACAGAACCTCAGAAACTTTAAGGATTAAGGAGGTTAACATATATGTGTTGAATATTAAACACCAGGGGAATATTACTTATTACTGTCAATATGAAATAAAGCAAATTATTTTAGATAATGAGCAGTAAGTTGAAAGTGTTCTTATGGCTATGGTCAAAAGAAATTGGATGTTGTTTTTTCTACTAGCTGTAATAATGTTCTTAGATAAAGAAGGAGACAAAGAAAAGAATTATCTTCTAGAAAAAGTTAACCATCATGTTTAGATCTTATCAATGAAAGAAATTGATTAGACATAAATTTACTACTTATTCATGCTCTGTAATGGTCAGTGAATACTGGATTACAGCACTTATGCTGTCCCTGTATCTGTGTAATTTTTTTCATTAAGGTGGACACTTCTCGAAAGCAGAGTTGTATCAAAATTCTTTGAGTCTTAAATGTATACTAATGTTTCACACACAGTGGTACTCATTATATGTTGAATGAATAAATGAATTTATAAAAGTAAAAAATGCATGGATTTCAAAGAAACAATGGAATTCACATAGAGTAGGCTTAACATTTAAAATAAAATATAAATTCTTTACAGAAGCCTCTTTCAAAACTTAAATCTACTTTTTAGAAATGATTCAGCAGCCTTTTCAATATGATTAAGTTCAAAGGACAGCATGGTTTTCTGTGTTTCTACTTCAACTTGACAGAAAGAGATTTGTACTTGTATTCTTACGAAAGAAAAGTAGAAAGCCTACTTGGTAGGGATTTTCATTTATTTATACACACATATGGTTTTATTAGGTGGAATTGGTTTTTAAAGTTAAGATTTGTTTTTAAATTAAGATGAGGAAAATGTTTTTCTTCTGTAATCTTGAAGGTATTTCAATGTACATGTTGCATTGTCCAAGGTTGTCTTCCAAAATTATATATAGGAAGATTGGCACATCTTTTGTAGGTATGGTATATTTTTAATCTAGGCATCACACTGATTTGAACTATATAATTTTGAAATGTTAGTGCTTATAATCTATTTACATGATTTTATATCTCAGAAGTAATATAATATGTGTATATACTTCCTTCTTACCCTATTTGAGTCAATTCTTGCTCTGGAAGTATAAATGGGAGGTGGGATGTTGAAAGCCTGAGGGACTAAGTACTCCTCAGCATCCATCATATCTTCCAAATCTTCTTCATCCAAGAGATTCTGAAAGAACTTGCTGTCATTTGGACTGGGAAGCTTCATACGATCATCACCCTAAAAGATTACCATCAGACACAAACACGACTTTTTTTTATCTTAAACATGTGGTCTCTGCAATTAATTTTTGTAATATCAAAACAAATCGTTGAAAAATTCATATACACATTTTAAAAAAACAAGTCTTTAGCACAACACCAGCCATTAAGAAACCTATAACATGCTTAGATATGACAGGGTCAAATCACAAATTTTATACTAGAATAATATGATAAATACCATTAATAATAAACCAAAATTCAAAAGTTGTTTTTAGGGAGGTAAAGTCAATTTCAGGTCTGAAAATAATTGTTCATTGCCCAGATCATGTGTGGGCTGCAACTTTAAACAATAAAAGGTGATTAACTTATCAACCTTTATGTTATTTGGTTGTTTTGATGCTGTAGGATTAATAGGACGATAGGGTCTATACTTTATTCTATAGCATACTGGCTACATTATCAAAGCAGTGGCATTCGAAACTCACAGTGCAAGTGTCAAACAGAGTAAAGGTGTATGAAGCAGACACCAAAATCTTTGTTATGCTCTTTCTCACCTCATCTATTTCTTAAGTATTTTTCCTATAACAATTTCAGTTTATGAAAACTAATTTTGGGGAAAAATAAATGGAAATAAGTATCTTCTAAAACCTAGCTTTTATCTTTATGTCAGACTATTGATATGAAAATAAAGGCTACATTGTTTTACTGAGGAAACATAATTCACTCTAGTCCAAGGCTTATTTGTTTCTAGTTTAGGTGAAAATAGAATCATTTTTAAATTGTCCTGTTTTTCTAGTGTTAAATATAAAATATTCCTTTGGGCGGTGGATGTGCATCAATTCATTTGAATTGAGTTATTGCTTGGATACTGCATCTCTCTCCAAATGAAACAAAACATTTTAAAATATTTTTGGGGAAATTAAATATTAATATACTGAATCTTTTGATTCATTGTCTTCAAGCATGGGCAACATTAAAACAAATCTGTCTTTTGTTCTGAAAAATGAAAATTATGCTAATGAACATGACTTATACTTAATAAAATCAAAGTCTAAAATCAGTGTCTCAGGATTTAGACCTTTTTATGTATATGTATAATCATAATTATCTGTTCAATATCAGAGTCACTGGAATACTAACGGAAGGTGCTAAAAGGCGTCTTTGACATGAAGTAAAACTCTTTTCATAAGTTATTTCACCTGATAATCTGCTTAATTAATCAGTATGTTAGTGGCCATTTCCACAGTTCCAAACTCCTGATATTATTCATATTTTGCAGTGAGTTTGCCATCGGCCTAGTCTTAAAGGCATAAATCAAATGTACTAACCTGAATAACTAGGTATCTTTGAGGGTCTCGAGCCATCCTTGAAAATTCGGCAGCCAGTTCCTTAAATTTAGGTCTACTGTCAGCATCAATCATCCAGCCTGGAAATTTACACAGTGAAAAATTTCACTATATCCATAATTAGAAGTTGAGATATAAATTTTATGCAAATATGAGCAAAAGTTTGAAAAATGTTGTTTTAATCATAATCTGAAAAATAAAGCTAGTAAAAGAAACAACTCAGTTGGTAAGGCTTTATCAGTTTCTTTGTTGATATTCCTAACTAAATGTAAGATACTGTAAAACAAAAGATAACTGTTTTCCTCTGATGTATATAGATGAGGTGACTACGATATATGTTATTTTGTATTAGGAGTGACATGGGAGAAAAGATTTGGTTACAATGCTTACACTAGCACAAAGGAGAAAAAGGGAATTAAAAGCAACTTTCTTGTCCTGGTGTGGGGGGGGAGGAAAAAAACTGATGCAAAGTGACTTACAGTAATGCCTGTTTCGCAATAGATATTAGCTTATCTTAGTACTAGCTTGTCTAGCATAAAAATACTATCAGCAAGTTTCAAGGTATGTATTAGTATTTAGCTGGGAGTCTAGATAAAGTAGACCTTATCTCTACAGTCTCTGCTAAGCTAATGAGGCAACAAGAATAAAAGTGCAAAGCTTTCCTTGATTTTCCTGCCAAATGATCCTCTTAGGTGTTAAAACCCCCAAAGAAAGGTAAAACTCTCTATTAGGCAAAGTATTTCCTTGGTTTTACATAATTTCATCAGAGCTAAATTCTGATGAATTTAAATCATTTCCTATGCTAGTTATAGGATTAAATTATATAAAGCATGCATGTTTTTAAACTTTCTTCCATAGATGTCTACCAAACAATATTTGAGAGAATAAGGCTGTAAAGCTTGTTCCTTCCTTTTCTGGGAGTTTGGTTATTTCTATTCTGGAAATTCTTTGGATATAATTTTATATATCATTAACATGATCTGCTTTTTTTCTCTCCAAACAAAGCTCAAATGCTCTGTATTCTATATGTGTTCATTTATAAAAATGCTTGGTAATGCCAAGATACTAATGAGAAAATAGGTGTTTCTGAAACTATTGAAGCCAAAAAAGGTTAAACACAGTTAAGGTATCGGTTTCTCTCCAACTAAATATTGAGTAAACAGAACTATGCTTAGTGAAAAGGGCATGCTGACCTGAACTACAAAGAACATTTTTTATTTCCTCCCTCACTGTCAGAATGTATCACACATGTCATGAATATAAATCTGAGTAGACCTGGGTCCAAAGTCTCTTATTAATAAGATGCTTATTCACCTTCACCAGTTTGTTTCTTTGCTAACCCCATGTAAATCAGAAGGGGAAAACCTTAGATTATACAAGAGAGATTGCTGCATGTTAATCTCACTTAAATTAAGCCAGAAACTCCAGAGACTTCCGTAATTCTATTTAAATTAAGGATCTGAGCTTCAAAAATACATTTATAATACATATGTGTCTGGGGCACAGGAAGAAAAGAGTTTGATGTAAACAAATTATCAAATTGATAAAAGTAAACATTTATAATTTTTTCTGGCTCACTGTAGATTCATTTCTTCCCACTTCCCACTTTGTCCTGCTAATCTGCTCTTGACTAAAACTCGTAGAGCTGTTTCTATTAATTTTTAAAACTATCAGCTTCAAGCTTTTTTCCTTTATGTTTAGATCATTCATGTAGCCTGATATTTTCCCATAAAGATCACTAATGTTATTACTAACACTCATGTTAGTAATAACATTACTGTGTCTAATTATATCTCTTTACGACAGGCAATTTGACTGTCATGGAGATTATGAGAGTAAAAGACTCATAATTTTGACTTTATAGCATGGAAGAATATTACTTTATATTAATAATAGTCACAACAAACAGGAGTTTACATGTTCCCTTCATAATTGTTTTTGAACAGTTGTATTTTTCAATACAGAGAAACATTACATAGATTGAATAGTCTGTGCCATTACTATACTAAGAATGGTGATGGTGATGTTAACATTATTTTGCAATCTTACATTTGACCATAACCATGTAAACGTCAATAGTGCAGATGGGAGGTTGAGGCAAACGTTCTCCTTTCTCTAATAAATCAGGGATTTCTCGAGTTGGAATTCCATCATAGGGTTTTCCTCCAAAGGTCATCAGTTCCCATATTGTAACTCCTACATTGGAGAAAAGATTCTTATGTAAGCACATTAACAACATATTTTAAACAAACCAGCAATATACCTGTGATAAGAATGTTCCTTATAGATTAACCAAAAGACAGATTTTTTGTTGTTGTTTTTTGGTTGTTTTTACAAAAAAACTCCACCAATTCCTATATCCATTATGAAAACCCCAATGTCTAGATCTTTGTGGGAGAAGTCAATTTTCTTAAATGTCTAGAAGAGACAATTTACAGTGGATGTCACTATATAGAATCTGTTCCCCATTTCTAACTACAGGTAATATTAATGTTTGCTGATCCAAGTTATATTTCACTATACCATGTTACAATCCATAAAACGATTCATCTATATCTAGATATGTATTCAGTACCAATAAATATAATTGCAGGTAAAATAAGATATTAATTTTGAGATTAGCATCTTTGCTATAGAAGGTTTCCAGAATTACGGTATGTTATGAAAAAGAATTGTGACTCTAACTCACACAAAGAAAACAGCTGAATAAAACAGATATATTTCTTTAGCATACATGAGAGCCTGAGTGAGAAATGTTCCATATATAATAATATATAGTACATGTGACATAGGCATCAACAAAATTGAAGGGGATAAAAGTAGTTTATTCTTTAGATAATAAAATTACTTTATAGAATCACTAGACATTTATTTTCTCTGAAAAAACAAATATCCTAAATGGTAACATGCAAACAGCCAATTTTGAAAACGATGGTTCTGATTTTAGCAATACATAACTAAATATCTTTTTTATGATATAATGATCATATAATCTACAATATTTTTCTTAAGGATAAAGACTTTTAAGTTCAGAAATAGCTAGCTGGGCACAATAATATATTACAAAGTGAATTCTGACTGATGTATATACACAGTCATCTTTTAATATAAAATCCTTTACAGCTATGTTTTCTTTCCTACTGCCATCTGTAATGAATTATTTACTCAGGCTGAAGTCTTTTTTAGTTTATTTCTTGATAATAGAATATTAACTATGACCTGATTATTTTGGTTAATATTTAAATCTTAGGATTTTAGATATATTGTTAATATGAACCTAGTGACAATTTGACTCATTGTTATTAAATTTTTAATTTTGTATATTAAGGAATAGCTCCTAAAGCCTGTTATAAAAACTTTCTATGAGGCAGGCTGCAACAGGTTAAGTGGATGACTGTTCATCTCTAGTTAGTCATATATATATATTCTAAAATATATATTCTATATATATATATTTTTAGACAGGGTCTCAATCTGTCTCCTGGGCTGGAGTAAAGTGGCATGATCACAGCTAACTGCAGCCTCAGCCTCCCCAGGCTCAGGTGACCTTTTCACCTCAGCCTCCCTAGTAGCTGGGACTATAGGCAAGATCCACCATGCCTGGCTGATTTTTGTATTTTTAGTAGATACAGGGTTTCACCATGTTACCCAGGCTGGTCTAAAACTCCTGGGTTCCAGCCATCTGCCCACCTCAGCCTCCCTAAATGCTAGGATTACAAGCATGAGACACCATGCCCGGCCTAGAATATATATTTAAGGAGAACATGTTATTAACTTAGGTAGGCAGTTATAAAAGATAGAGTGGGTACTCTCACACCTCTATCAGAACTCCCAATATAAGTGAGATACAAAGCAACTATAAATCAAAATAGAAAATATAATAAACAGAAAAATACAAACATAAAAGCCAAAATATAAAAAAACTCTACTTCATCTGATAATAATCCAAGTATATCTTTGTAAAGGTGATGATAGGGTTAAACAAGTATGGTTTCATGTGAGAGAACAATATTAGGGAAAGCTAAGTCAAAACATCCTCAAATTTTACTTGGAATTCCATTATCTTAAGATGTATATCACAGTCGATGCTTATTTTTTTAAAAATAAAAATGCACCGAGTGGTAATTTTCCATAAAGGTGCACTGTAAACAAGATTATGCAACTTTCTCTGCCTTTTATGCCTTTTGCAATCAACTATGATATATCATAAAATTTTAAAAATGCTTTATGAATATGGGTTGATGACCTGGGCTGTGTTTCAAAACAGGGTACTACCTATTTACTTATTTTTCTGAACAGTTCCTGGGATTTTTGCAACTCAACATGAAGAAAAATGTTATAGTCTGAGTAACAAGATTTTCCCCAAAAGACAAATTTTACTATTAAAAATACGACTGTTCTGTTGACGTTATATATACTTTCAGCTAATTTAAATTCGCCTTCAGGGGACTGCCACATTTGATTCAGGGAATTGTAAGTAGAAAAAGAAGAAAAAGAAAAAAGTATATACATATATAAAATATATGATATATAAGATATACAAATCTGACTTTATATTCTACAAAGCTATCTATATCATGTAACATATAAATGCTAATGTAGATGGTAATCCATATCATAATACATAAATCTATCATAGAATATATGTAATAGATGTCTTTTTCTATTCACTTCTTACAATAGTTTAGCAAGTAAGTTTTGTCAAGCATTTCCACTACATTTTTCTATATCTCAGACACACAACACTTTCTAGTTCTAAGCTGAGTAAAATAAACACATGAAGCTTTCAAGAAAATTTTAACACCTCGTATGGCATACATATGTGGGTAGAATAACCCATTTGATTGAAATGTCTTAAATACTTTTTTTTAAAGATAATTACTTCTTTCCTAGAGAAGAAGTATAAGCTCTTAAGTGATTGAATGTTTTATATCTTTTTTTCCCAACAATGCAAAAAAAGATAAAACGTTTAAGTTTGAGTAAAATAAGTTGTACCATACGTTTAAATCTCACCACCACCCTTTTACTTAAGTGGGCATGAAGTTTTTTTATTTGTAAGCAATGCTAATTTTATATGATCTATTTAAACTTGGAAACATACCGACTCCTTGGTAACACTGGACTTAAATTGTAAGTAGCCAGACAGATGCTAAATAGCTCATCTTAACAATTAAGTTAAACTCAATAAAATAAATGTTCTAATTATAAATATCACTCTTTTCCAGTTCATATTACTCACTTTGTAACATTTCTGTTACTCCACAAGTAGTTTGTAAATTAAAATTAATGTTGCAATTAGAAGTCTTCTCTTTACCATGTTCATTGCTCTCACTGCTGTCAGTAATTTTTCTTTGTTATGACAATAATTTGTTTTCCACTACAGAACATAAATTCTCATATGCCATAAAACCCATGAAAACTTGGTTTTGTTTTTATTTGAATATTTACTGTATTGAGTTATGTTTTCAAAAGTTGCTTAAAGTTAACACCATGACATTATATGAAATTGTCCATCAACTAAAATTGGCTGAATTTTTTTTCTGTCAAAATGATCAGGCAAGTTCCTACCAAACCAAAGCTTACAGAGAACACCTCAGCAGTGATATTAGTATATTATATTGCATAACAGAAATAACAGAAAAGGGCAGATAGCAATGATATTTAGAATATTTTGTTGTTCAGTGAGTACACATGGACACAGGGAGGAGAATATCACACACAAGGGCCTGTGGAAGGGTGAGGGAAAGGGGAGGGAGAGCATTAGGACAAATACCTAATGCATGCGGGGCTTAAAACCTAGATGACATGTTGATAGGAAACCATCATGGCACATATATACCTATGTAACGAACCTGCACCTTCTGTACAAGTATGTTAGAACTTAAATAAAGTAAAATGGAATATTTTGTTATTTTTCAATGAGAAAGCAAAGTTAACTCCTGTGGGAAATTAGGTTTATAAATGGGTATGTATAACACAACAAAATAATTTAGCTTAAGATATTTCACATGAATTTAACATATATATTTTTGCCTTATAAACTTTAATTCACAAAGATGATTTATTTACCATAGCTCCAAACGTCACTCTGATGGGTGAATTTCCTGTAATGTATACACTCCAGAGCCATCCATTTAATTGGCATCTATAGAGAAGTAAGAAGTAACAGTTTTATAATTACATTAAAAATTCACTTCTATATGTATTTCCTAAATGTGAGTCTCTGGGCTGGCCTTAATCATATTTTTTATTGTGCATATATAGATATAACTTGTTAATTCTATAAATGTTAATTTATAAAACTCACAAAATAAAGATGTACTATACGTATTTTTAAATTTATTTTTGAGACAGGGTCTCCTTCTCTCACACAGGCTGGAGTGCAATAGCACAATCTCAGCTGACTGCAATCTCTGCCTACCAGGCTCAAGTGATTCTCCCACCTTAGCCTCTGAGTAGCCGGGACCACAGGTGTGTGCCACCATGCCTGGCTAATATTTGCATTTTTTTAGAGATGGGGTTTCATCATATTGCCCAGGCTGGCCTAGAACCCCTGAGCTGAAGTGATCCGCCCACTTTGACCTATTAAAATGCCAGGATTACAGGCATGAGCCACCCTGCCCGGTCATACTTACATTTAAAAAAAAAAATAAAAAAAAGCTTTATAAACAATTAAAGGTAAAAATAATTAAGTAGGGATAACTTTCTATAGTTCTTGATTAATGTTCAGTAATTAAGTTGCTGGCAAATTTGATTGACAATAACAAATCTAAATATCTACTACACATACTTCTAAAAATGTATTTATAGATTTTTCTCTAAAAATGAGATTTGTTATATTTTCAGTTATCCCTTTCACCCTCAGACGTATTTTGGGCCACCAGTACAATGGACTCTTTCTATACTTGCTCCTTCCCTTCTCCTCTCCTCTCATATAATTTGGCCACTAAAATGCCTAAAATCATGAATTCCAAAGTTAGCCTTGCTTTGCTTTCCAGCTTCAAATGACCTCTCTCATCTTGATTAGTCAGTATTGAAAATATGTACCATTTTCAAAATAGGAACTATATAAAAGAATGTGAGAGGATCAGCACAAATCTATCATCACTACAAGAAAAACAACTCAACCCACATATCCTGCTGATGATGGGTCAGCAGAATGAGTTTCAACTATGAAGGGCAGCATTATATAGCTGAGAATATAATTAGATTCTATGGAATAAAGATAAACACTTCCACTTTGCAGTTGAAAGCTTAAAACTAAATAGGCCTTTGAAATCATGAGGTTGGCTGCTCACCAAGGTGACACCAAGGTAACCCTATGACAGAATCATGGTATTCAGTGAAAGGGAACAGAAGACACATTGAAAGTAATTTCCCTATGGGCAAGGAGTTAGAGACTTTATGGACTACAGACATTGTGTTAAAGAAGTAAGTTTAAATCACAGGTAGCTTGATAAAGACTTAATGGTTACCAAGCATTTAAAGCTATAATGAATCTTGCTTTAGACAAATCTTACGTCTCAAATCTTATGTTCTCAAGACAAGTGAAGTCAGGTGATTTATAGACTTCAACGTCTGTGCAGTCTTATAGTGAATTTCAAAGCTGTGGTTTCAGACTACTGCAATTTAGTAGCAAACAGGCCAAATAGGCTAATAAAATCAAGGAAAAGCCAGATAATTCCTCAAGACTGTAGGTAGTTTAAAAAATTTTTGTGTTACTTTGTCTTATGATGAAGTTAAGTATTTGGAACCCTATCATTGCAAAATATTTATAATATATATTTTGATGGTCCCGATAAATAAGGCATATAATAAATATATTTATACGACACAAAAATAACTGGGTTTTTTTGTTAGTGTAAGCTTAAAGGTCACCATAAGCTAAAATTGCATTTGCTTATTTTATTTCATCTGCCTGATATTAAGTTTGTCAGGTGAAGCTAGAGGGCTCTCCCTAGGAAGCCTAGTCCTAATAGATTGTCCAAGAAAGGCACGCTAAAGAGAGGGTTAATAAGGAAATACAAGATATGGGACTAAGGCATGGATTGAGACCTCATGTTGGATGAAACAGGCAGGAACACCATTGTCAGACAGGGGCTGAGACTAGAGGGTCAGGAAAGGTAGATGAGGCAATGGCTCTGTTCAGGGTTCTTTGTAGTACTTGAGTTTTTCTCTGTGAGAGAGAAGCTATGTTCTCTATAAGAGTCAGTGCTATGGGCTTTAGATCAACGGGACAATTTCTACAGCCATGCATCAAAGTTTAATTTCTAGAACCCCTAAGGATACACCCACTTCCCACCCCTGGATCTAACATGAAGGTCACATGGGTACAGACACACATCACCTTATTTTAGCTACTTTTGAGAAACGAAAGTTGGTAATGTATGGTATATATGATATACACATACATATACATAACCTGGGCAGGAGAAAAGGCAAATGGTAGAACTAAGGTTTTATAATCTCCTAAGCCTCAGGCTTATTGGTTTCTTGTATAAAATATAAGGAGAGAAAAGGATATTAAACTGTATTTTCAAGCAATATTGCTTTCAAAATGACACTCACCTTTCCTCCATCAGCATTGTACTCTTTTTCATCTCCTTCTAAGAGTCTGGCTAGTCCAAAATCTGTGATTTTCACATGGTTTGGAGATTTCACTAAGACATTGCGGGCTGCCAAATCCCGATGAACAAGCCGTCTTTCTTCCAAGTACATCATTCCCTGAAAAACATCAAGTTCCTTAATGACATAGTTCGTTAATGCCTAGGCTTTTCCTTTTGTCTAAAAAAGAAGTCTCTTAGCCTTCAGTTGAAGTGCCTAATTTTTTCAGTGAAGCCAGAATTCTAGAATATTTTCAAAATTAGAGAAAACCTGATTTTGGGGGACAGCAAACCACAAATAGCTTTTGATCTTTTCTCCCTAAAGTCCTATGAGACAAACAAATTACTTGCCCATGAGCTAAATGTTAGATGATTATTTTCCAAGCAACTTGATATCCTTTTGCAAACACTTTCGTTAGTGAGGTGTACAGGTGTTGTAGTAGATAAGCTAACATATAGTTGGATTGACCCACATATTCATAATCATTTTCTTCTGAATAATTTCTGCTTCACGTCATTTTCTCCCTACATATCCAAACAAATACCTCTATCTATAATTTTTAGAAATATTTCATTTGAGGTTTGATGGTGCCAAAATCGCCATCATAGATTCTATGGAGGCTGAATAATTATACTATTCTCCTTATACTATTATACTAAGAATTATGCTATTCTTATTAATTATGCACAGAATAAAGTATATACTCTAGGAGTCTTAAAAACCTATAATTTTTAAGAAGGCTTCTATGACATCAGTAGTCATTATGAGGATTCACTGTGAAATTACACAGGTTGTAGTGACACTGAATTAGCCTTTAATATTTTGCCTTTATAAAACATACAGGGAAATTAAAAATAAAATTTGCTAATGTTGAACAGCAAGAGGCACAGCTTGCTCTCCTCAATACATGAATATATAACAATATATAACATGTTACATATTAATATCTATACAAATTCAGAAAAAAATGTTCCATAGTAGAATTATTAATTGTACTTCGGTAGCAGGTGAACTAAGAGTTGCTAAACAATTACTTTTAACAAAAGAGCTTATGTAAAACTAAGGAAATAAACCTGAAGCCTAGATTAGAGTGAATATATTTTTGTTTAAGAGTTAGGGGAAATTCTATATTTGATGATTTTAGTTGTAAAAAGGTCATCATTTAAAAACAGATTCGAATTATTATAAAATGGTGGAAGCATACTCTATGCCAATTGCAAATAAATGCTGTTGGCAGTTAACATTACAACTGCAGGACTTTGAAGGATTAATGGTTTCTGATATCAAAACAAAAGCTGTGGAAAAGAGACACATAAATCACACAGGTCAAAAAACTATGAACCGTATACCTGGTGTAGTGTAAAGAGAAGATTACCTCAAACAGCATCATGAGCCAAACTCCATATAAATGCACATTAAACACAACCAGTGGAGATACTGCCTGATATGGTCTAATCAGTCAACAGTTGGGTGACACTCTGAGTATTAGTGTTTTCTGAAATCAACTTGGAACTGAGATTTACGGGACTTTTGCCCTCTCTCCTAAACAGTGCTTTGTGGTTGAGTAAATTAGAAATTCCTAGAATAAGGTACATCTGAGAACATATAGCCCTTATATGACTTAAAGGATCAAAAAAAAAAGTAAATGCATTGCCTTGGAGATAAAGTATTTTCATGTTTTCTCAGATAATCCTATCCTTTGAAGAAATGTTCATGAAACATTCATTGTTCTCTTTCTCATCACCTGCATATCAGAGCATAGGATATATGTTGGCAACAGGTGAACATGTACTATGTGCTATTTGCAAGGCACTGAGAAGACAAAAAAGAGATAAGATCTGTACATTAAAGGAGAACAGAGGCTAATTAATAAAGTGGGCAGATAGGACTTGAATGGACTGATGTGATACATGCAAGGCATTTAAGAACTGTATTCTGAGTCCCTTATGTAGTATAGCTTAGCAAGTGACTAGGAGGAGAGACTTCAAAGCATTACTGAGGCCTAAGTAAGGCTTGAATGATGTCTTGCAGTTGGACAAAGTGAGGATAATACTGCAGGCAAAAAAAACAAGCACAGGGGCAGCAGCACCATGGTGTACTTGGACAAAGATATGCCATTCTGTAATTCTAAAGTATAATGTATGAGGGTGGGACAGTGGTGAGCAGTGAAAGTGAAAACAGAAGAGGCAGGGTCCAAGAAGGGTCCCTTATATGTCATGGTAAGGAACTTAGACTTTTGTATTTCATGCAGTACACAATTAGGTGATGTGGAATTTCTTTTAAAAAGGAGAGAGAGATTATTGTTGGACTCAAACACCACCCTGGTGTCAGTACAGAGAACGGACTGGACACCAGTGCAGCTGAAGGCAAGAGCCATTGCCACAGTACAGAAGCAACTTGATGGAAGTGTACAATAAAGGTTGCAAACTGTCAGTCCATGGGCTACATCCGTTTTTCAGATTTTTTTTTCTTTAGTTCTCACACTGGGCATGGGTTAGTCATTCTCTTTAGCCAAGACCAACTGCACCCCAATGAGGGCAATTCGACCCCATTTTTCAAGATCTCACCAGAATTCTGCTTCCATCACTTAAAACACTCATCTGCTCCTACTAAGCTGCTCCTAGTTTAGTTCAACTAAACTAGGCCAGAAGGAATATATCAAGGAATATTTATAAAATAAAATAATCATCCTTGGTATTTGTTTGAACAATGAAGAAAGAATACATAGAGAACAATTTGGTTTTTAGACTTCTGTAATTTAGGTGGATAATGATCACTTGAACCACATATTCTAATAAAAATATCATTTTTATATTTCTTAAACATGCGCAGGAAGAGTGAGATGTACTTTGCCAATAGCGAACTAAAGCACATTCACCAAGAAATTTAAAACTGCTATGTTCTGAATGGTTTTATGTCCTTCCTCAAATTTGTATGTTGAAATTCTAGCCCCCAAAGTGATGGTGTTAGGAGGTGGGGCCTTTGAAAAGTGATTAGGTCATAAGAGTAGAGCCTCATGAATGATAGTAGCACCCTTGTAAATGAGACCTCAGAGATCTGTTGCTTCTTCAGCCAGGTGAGGTTATAGTAGCTACGAACAACCAGGAATCAGGTCCTCCACTAGACACTAAATTTTCTGGTACCATCATATGAGACTTCCCAGTCTCCCAAACTATGAGAAATAAATTTCTGTGTGTGGTATTTTGTTATAGCAGCCTGCACAGACTGACAGTATAATGACATACTCTACAATACAAAAAAACAAAAAACAAACAAACAAAAAAAACAAAAAAAACCTTCAAAAACTCCAAAAGTTCTTTGAAATTCTATACACAAAGCCTCAGCAGGTGATAGACTATCCTGAAGCTAACTACTATGTGTCCAGAAAATATATTTTCTTCAAAATAACAAGAACTCAATTTAAAGAAACTAGGTGACAATCTCTAGACAGTTTCCTTCACCCACCTGACCATCACTAAAAGCAATAAGAACAGAAGTATCTATATATTAGCAAACCATTAAAACACGTTTATGGTTGCTTTGTAACAATGAAACATCATTATACAGATGCATACTTTCAGATTATTGCTTACTACAGCCATCTTAGTCCTACTTTCACACCTTGAGAGTGTTGAATCACCTATGGATTGCTCATAATAGCTTTCTCCATATCACAGTCATTAAATAGGATTTTCTTACTGGAAGATCTCATTTGAGTCACGCTCTCTACTAGGTTCCTTCAAAATGAAATCACTCTCCAAAATCAGAGTGTCATCCAACTAAGGTAGCAGACACTTATTAGAAATAACAGCTGCAAAAACAAACTGGATGAAGTCCCTGGAAGTTTTAAGATGAACAAATAAGGGTCATTCATCATGATGCTGTGTTGGTGGGTAAAGAAACCTCATACTCTGCCCTATAGCAATTCCCATGTCCATGCCAGGCCAGCTTGAGTAAAGTATATTATGAGAAGAATAAAACTGTCAGCAATCACAGCTAACATTGACCCAGTGCTTAGAACGCAATAGTAATTAAAGCAAGTGTTGCTACATTGGTTGGTTAACTTAATCCTATGAGATACATACTGCTGTCGTATTTTAAAGATGAGAAAACTAAGTCTAAGTGAGGTCAAGTTACTTGCTCCAAGTTATCTAATCAGGGGCCCCCAAGCTCCGGGCCATGGACCAGCACCAGTCCCTGGCCTGTTAGGAACTGGGCTGCACAGCAGGAGATGAGTGGCAGGCCAGTGAGCATTACTGCCAGAGCTCGGCGTGCTATCAGATTAGTGGCGGCGGCATTAGATTCTCATAGGAAGCTGAACCCAGATGTGAACTGTGCATGTGAGGGATCTAGACTGGACACTCCTTATAAGAATCTAATGTCTGATGATCCAAGGTGAAAAAGTTTCATACTGAAACTATCTCCCCTACTGGGCCCCCACAAACGTGGTCCCTGGTGCCAAAAAGGTTGGGGACTGCTGATCTAGCTAATGCATGGTAGAAGTTGGATTGAATCCCTTGCTGTGATGACGATAAAGTCTATACTTATAAGCCTATCTTCCCTCTTATTGGGTCACAGGATTATGTGGGCACAGAGAAATTAATGAACATAGTGAAGTCTTTTTTTTTTGAGACAAGGTCTAGCTCTGTCATCTAGGATGGAGTGCAGTGGCATGATCAGGGCTCACTGCAGCCTCAACTTCCTGGCCTGAAGCAATCCTTCTGCCTCAGACTTCCAAAATATTGGGAATATAAGCATAAACCACCACATCCAGCCTTTTGAAGTCATATAGCTTTAAAAGACCCTAGTACTTTGGCAAAAAAACAAAAAACAAAAAACGATACCTGGAATTTCTATGAATTTCAAGACATAATGCAAGTGACTGACTTTTTAAACTTATATTTAAAACTCAGTTAAATTATAGCATATTTTTGAAAGTTACCAAGAGTTTGAATTGTACAAACTAGAGACTGTTCTTATTTTGGTCACAGTGTATGCAAGATGGTAGAGTGGGTATGAGTGTAAAGTCTGTGGTCAATTGCCTTTTTCAAACCCCAGCCCTGCCATGTTCTAGCCTTGTCACTCTGAGAAAGTTATTTAATCTCTGTTATCGCCTTCCT